CTGCTCCTGTTCCACCCACTCTGTTCTCTGTTTCACCCACTCTTGTTCCACCTTATTTTGTCCCCAACCATGCTAACATGGGCAGTGTCTGGGCCTCCAGCTGTCAGTTTATATGTCCTATCCCTCGCTTTCCATCCCATAGCTCTGACCACCACTGCCTAGCTTGATTTTGGCAGTTTGTCCCTAAGACTAGCAGTCCCCAAGGAAGGTTCCAATACATGTGTCATCTCTTTCACCCCCAAACTAGAATCAATGACTGCCAAACATCAAAAGTACGAGGTAAAAATCCAATGGTCTTGTTTCTGGCCCACTGTGGGTATGCAACAAGAAATTCACGTGCGCCTTCACTACTCTTTTTCTCAGGGACGTTCTCCCGGCATGTTAGCAAGGTCCAGTTAAATTTCTCAGGGTGAGGGTCCCCTTGGAGAAGGGAGTGAGTTGGTGTGGATTTCTGTACTCAAGGTAGAACACTTCCAACAACCAGGAGCTCTGGGCATCCCACCCCTGATCTGGGCAAATCTGGCATGAAGTCTACACACTAAAAATAGCTTTCCCAGTACATCAAAGTGATGGTAGAGGCTTCCTGATCTGGCTTGCACACCACAGGTGAAGTCATTGGTCACTTACCAGTGTCTGCCCACTTAGGTTCTAAAGTCCACTGTATCAATGACATCATGCTAACAACTGGATGAGCAAGACGTGGCAGGGATTTTAGAGGCCTTTGAAAGACATAAGCACTTCAGAGAGTGGTAGCTTAAGCCTACAAAGATTCAGAGCCCTGCCATATCAACGAAGTATTTAAGGGGCTACTGATCAGGGGCATGCTAGGACCACCCCTCCAAAGTCAGAGGCAAATGACTGTATCTCACACCTCCTACCACTAAGAAGGAAGCACGATGCCATGTAGGCCTCTTTGGGTCTGGAAGCAGGGGACCAAGCAGTGGAATGACCTCACTTATTATTTCTCCTAGTGATCCACATGGGAATTTGTGCTTCCCGTCCCAATACAGTCACCACTAGCAAAATTCATCTATTTAAATTTAAATTAAGATAAAATTAGTTATTTTATCTGAATTTTAGATAATTAAAATTCAGTTCCTCAGATACACCAGGTACATTTCAAGTACTCAGTAGGCACATGCAGCCAGTGGCTACCTAATTGAACAGTGGATCCTGGCGATTCAAATGGGAATGCTTCCACCAGTACACACAGTAGGAGTCCCACTGAATTATGAGCCATGGCTGATAACTGAATTACAAGTCATGGGAACCTTGGGTTCATTCATCCTGCTATGGCTATGGGACTAAGCAGGTGTAAAGAAGAGTAGCCATTCTGTCAGGGGTATTGGCTCTGATCATGACGAGGAGGCAGGGTTGTTCTTACACACTGTGAACAGAGAAGGATATATTTGGCACCCAGGTGATCCATTTGAATGTCTCCTAATAATTCTTTGCCCAATTTTTATGGTAAATGGACACATGCAATTTCCACAGTCTGAGAAGGTCATGGGGACCATGGGTTCAGAACCAATCCTCAGGGATAAAGGTCTGTTACTCGACCAGGTAGGTCACTGAGAACAGCAGACATGGTGGCTGAGACTGAGAGCACTCTAGATTGGATAGACGAGGAAGACCATGAGCATCAGTTGTGGCTTCAAAGCCAGTTGCAGTCATGCGGGCCATACACCATCCCACTACCCTGCCTCATGTTCAACTCCCCAGGAAAAGGGCCAAGCCAAATCCTGGAGAAGTTATTCCCAAATGAGGGGAGCATCCTGTGTGAAGCAAGCCCATCTGAGGCCTGCAAGACATGGGCTGTGGTCGATGCTGTGGTCGTTCCACAGCCCAGCCTGATGGCGGAGATAATCATTCCCCTGCCTGCCAAAGGTGTTGCGTGATGATGGCACATAACTCTCTCTCCAAATATCAGTCAAGGGGTCAATGAAGGGTGGAGAGTACCAACACCTGGACTCCAGCCTCTACTTGCAACATCTCAATAGAATCTTCCCAACCATAGAGCTCCCTGAGGGACTGACTCAATTCTACTTCCCTCACTCTCTTACAAGTGTTTGTTTTTGTTTTTGTTTTTTTGAGATGGAGTTTTTCACTCGTTTGCAATGGCGCAATCCCAGCTCACTGCAACCTCCACCTCCCGGATTCAAGCGATTCTCCTGCCTCAGCCTCCTGAATAGCTGGGATTACAGGCATGCGCCACCACGCCCAGCTACTTTTGTATTTTTAGTAGCGATGGGGTTTCTCCGTGTTGATCAGGCTGGTCTCAAACTCCTGACCTCAAGTGATCCACCTGCCTTGGCCTTCCAAAGTGTTGGGATTACAGGCATGAGCCACTGTGCCTGGCCATAGGTGTTATTTTCTAGAACACGTCTTACCCTTTCAAGTTGCAGGGATGAACTAGTGAAGGCCCCAAACACTGACCAACTGGCATCCCACAGCCTCCTCTTCCAGAATGCCTTTGCGCAGGTGTGTCTGGGAACCTCTAGCTATGGGTGTGTGCCTCCTCGGGCACTGAGGGTTGGGGGCGGGGAGCTTCAGCTATTGTCAGATGGCACAGATTGTGCAGGACATCTTGTTAGGAGGAAGCAGTCTGGAAAATGGTAGTGGAGAAAATCTGGCTTTCCACTGATGGGAAAGCTTGACCTTCAAGGGTGGCCTTCTCCTTGGGTGGAAGGTCTGCCCTGGACCTAATGTGCTCACGGCAGTACTGGCCAGCTTTCTCCCAGAACGGGGGCTTGCCTGCTGCTCAGAAGGAAGGGGTGCTGCAGGGCACCCACATGTCTGCAGACTGGGCCTCAGGTAAGAGCTAGTCAGGGTGGCTCTGTTCCCTGAACCCCCTCATGGCTCTGCCCCCAGCAACACTGGCAGCTCTGCGTGCCTGGGGAGGCCATTGCGTAGGAGGAGATAAGCATCTGCTGATTTCAGGGGCTGATTGCTTCCCTTTCTCTCTCCGGGAAGCTGTCTGTTGCCTAGGTGATGCCCAAATCCCAGTGTCTGGTTTGAGCTCTGCATGACTCAGCTACCAAGCTGTTTGCTAGGGGCCTCAGGAGGGAGGCTGCTTGGATACCTATGAGATGGAAGGCACATTTTGCTGTGAGGACATTTACCTCTGCTTCCGCTCCCTAACAGCAAGCAGTGTGCGCCCCAAGCCACGTGTCCTTCCTTACTGGCAGGAGACCTGACACCACCCACCTGCACGACTTCAACTTCTACTGGAGGGTGCACGCTGGAAACTTCTCCACCATCCCCCAGTACTTCAAGGAGAATGGCTATGTGACCATGTCGGTGGGAAAAGTCTTTCACCCTGGTACTGCTCCATGTTCAGAGTCTGGGTTCTCTTGGTTTGTGGTATCTGAATCCAGCAATCCCGTCCTGGGGATGGGGCTGTCTTTGCAGATCGCTCTTCTGGCTGGGCGAGTGCCTCACTATTCAGTGCTTCCTTTCTAAAAAACCAACTTGTCAACCCAGCTACATGTTCTCACCCAAAGTGGAAAAGGGTAGAAAGAGCTTTGCTACCTTTCAGAAACCACTGAGGGTGTGCCATTGGGTCCTTCAGCTCCTTGGGTGGTAGGCAGGACACGGGTTGAGGAGGTGGCAATGTTGGGTGAAGTCCAGCTCGGGGCCCCACCCTCCTCCCTGCAGGGTACCTGTCAGTAAACCTAGGGGTGGGTTGAGGACACCTGAGGGCCTCCCATGTGGCCAGCATTGCTGTTGCTGACTTGTTGCTCAGTGAGGGGGCAGTGGTAAGGCCGGGGCTGCTGCCCATTCTGTGAATTAGGTCAGAAAGATAAGTGTAATCTGGTTTCTGCACCTTGTCTCAGGAGCTCGCAGTTCTGGACATGGGAAAGTGCACTTCAACAGGTGTCTCAGGTGGTCTAGCCACCTCTCCTTGAGCTCATCATTCCCTTAGCCTCCCTGTGCTGCCAGGTCCTCATCTTGGGCCTCTGGGGCAGGAGCCAAAAAACCTCTGGGCATGGGAACGTGGGATTTAACAGGCTGCCTGAGGGGCCTGTCAAGGTCATTGGGTTTTTGTTCCTCCTGATCTCAAGACGGATCCTTGGGGCCCACACAGGCATGCATTCTCCTTAGCCAGACTTCCCCGTATTTGCTCCTGGCTGCAGCAGCACAGGCTGAGACCCGGCACCAGACGTTCAATGAGATCTTGCAGTCAGGCAGTCCACAGTTATTTCTATAGCATGTGCCATGTGTCAGACCCTGTGCCAGGCCTGGGGGCCACCTCTGCCTGGTGCAGGGCAGCTCACAAAAGCTGGCAGAGGCCGAAGGCTGCGTGCCAGTATTCAGAATGCCACAGAGCGCCTGACTGCTGTACCTTCAGGGCCTCCACGGGCACCCCAGTCAGAGTTTCAGGGGTGGATTCCTGAGGTCCCACTGCCGGGGTCCCTCACTTTGCCATCCTGCAGGCTTCTCCATCCTCAACCTTTTAGATTCCCGCCACACTGAATCTACAAGGGACAACGTGATCTCCAAGCTGGTGGCCTAGGAGCCTGCCGATAACCGACCCATTCATCAGCCCTCGTGGGTCAAGGCTGCCTCGTCCTCCCCAAGAGAGTGGAGAGGTTGAGCAGTGGGGCTACCCCTCGGCCCACGGGGCTGACCGACTGGGGCAGGAGTCAGGGGGAACTCCCTCTCTTTCTGCGCTCCACCGAGCTATCTGAAAGTCCCCACCATGCTCCCCAGTACTCACAGCCAGAGGGAGGAAGGGCTCACCAGAATCACTGGGCAACTCTGATGGGCATCAAGTCTGCTTTGATTATAGATGAGTGGGTAAGAGGCTCCTCTCAACTTGGGGTCTTCTTAGGAGAGCAGTGTCAGCGCAGAACAGGTTTCAGCCCTGTTCTGGAGACCACAGACGCTGGAAGGCTGGGACACCATTTGCAGCCCCAGCGTCATCTGTTAGACAGAGCCAGCAAGGTCTCACGCCGTGTGGTGTATTTCAGCACTTTCTCAAATTTACCCGTGGCAGCTTTTGGTGTGTTTGGTTATTTTTATAACACTACTCACTATACAATTTCTGTCATGCCCATTTTTTGTATCAAAAAGGGTGCTGTAACTTAAAAAGACTGGGTATTTCCAACTTGGAATATTCAAACCATCTTTTGCAGGGGACGTTTTAAATAGGCATGAAGGGTTGTGTTGTTTTTAATCGGGGTTAAGGATCTGGAATCAAAGGTTTTAGTTTACTCCATCTATGGTGTATCTTAAAATCTGAGCAAGATGTCCTTGCCTTTTTTGAATTTGATGATTGTGCTGCAGTTCCACAGCTCAGTTTTAGGTGGCACACACCCAAAACTGAAAACCTGAGCCTGGAGGAAATGAGTCAAAAGATAGGTAGGTACAGGACAGGGCAGTGGTGCCACTACAGCTTTCAGGGTTCCCACTCTGTCAAGGAGGAGCGTGTCTTAGCAGGGGAGGCATTTCAACGTCTTCTCAAATCCACCTGTGGCAGTTTTTGGTGTCTTTGGTTATTTTTATAACCCTAAATACTTATATACAATTTATATACATGTACAAAATGGACATGTACATTATATATTTTGATACAAAATATGCACAAGTACATATTTTGTATCAAAAAAGAGGTTCTCAGAAGAATTCCACTTCCACAAAACTAGAATAGATATACTTTTCCCTATTCTTCCAACTAAGTGACCTAAAACCCCTTGATAATATACACAAAACAAACATAAGACTCTGATAGGTGGAGTGAAGGCAGATCAGATAGGGACCTTGTGACCTGAGGAACAATGGAGTTAATTAGTTCTCTGGTGTGTGTCTCTCTTTCTTTCTTTCCCTCTCCTCTTCTTTCCCATTCCTCCCTTCCCCTCTCTTTTTGTTTCTTTCCCTCTCTTTCCCCTTCCCTCCCTTCCTCCCTCTCTCTCTCCCTCTCTCTCCCTCTCTCTCCTCTCTCTTTCCCTATCCTCTCCTTTCCCCTTCCTCCCTCCCTCTCTCTCCACCTTCTTTCTTTCCCTCTCCTCTCCTTTCCCCTTCCTCCCTTCCTCCCTTTCTCTCTCTCTCTCTCTCTCTCTTTTTCTTTGCCCATATACACCAGACATGGAGCTGAAGGAGCTAGGATCCAGAAATGTCAACAAACACAGAGGAAAGAAGAAAGAAGGAATGAAGGAAAAGAGGGAGGAAAGGTGGACAGTAAGGGAGGGAGGAAAGAAGAACCAAAGCCAGAGGACCAAGAAAGTTGTAACTTACCAAGATAGAAAACTTTTAGACAGTAAGCTGCTTTACTCTAGTTAAATACCACAGAAATATAGTTTGATCCCCACTTCCGCACATGCCAGCAAAGGTCAACTAGGGGGCTCAGTGTAACATGCTTGCTAAGCTGTAACATCCCTCCTGTCTACCTTGGTGCTGTTGGAGGTGGCCAATCAGGGAGCTGGCATTTTCATCCCTGCCAGGCAATAGCAAGTCCCCATCCCCTAAGGTGTCTGTGCAGGTGATACTGAATACAGTGCTGAAAAATATCAAACCCTCCCAGCCACAAAGGTATCAGTGCAGCCCCAGATCAGATCCAAAAAGTCCACTCCTGCCCAGCAGAAACAAGGAGTACCCCCACCCATTTCAGGAATCAATGGAGGCCATGTGGGGAAGGTAGACTACTGCACTCACCAGGCAGTAATGCGGCATGATCCTTCCCTTTCTTCTGCTGGAGTGATGTCAGAGGATGCCAGCTAAAACAAAGTTTAAATAACACCTTAAACCTAGTAACATAATATGAAAATCTCTAGATTTCAATCAAAAGTCACACATCATACCCAGAACCAGGATGATCTCAAATGGAATGACAGGATACAATCAAGAGATGTCAACACTGATGACAAAGATGTTAGAATTATCTGTAAAAAAAAATTGAAAACCACCATTATATAAATGCTTCATTAAGCAATTAAGAACGCATCTGAAACAAACTAAAAATAGAAAGTCTCAGCCAAAAAATAAATAGAAGACATAATGAGGAATCAAATGGAAATTTTAGAACTGAAAAATACCATAACTGAAATTTTAAAAACTCTATAAAGGAATCACTGGCAGAATAGAAAGAACAGAGGAAAGAACCAGTGAACTTGAAGACAGAACAGAAATTTCCCATTCTGAAAAACGAATAGAAAATACATGGGAAAACAAGATGGACAGAGCTTTAGGTACCTGTGGGACTATGAACAATGATCTCACATCTGTGTCATAAGGGTCCCAGAGGAAATGAGAAAAAGTGTGGGGATGAAAAATCAAAGAAGTAACGGCTGAAAATTTCCCAAATTTGACAAAAGACATAACCCTGCAGACTTCAGAAGCTGAACAAATCCCAAAGAGAATAAATCCAAAGAAATTCTACACTAAAACACTTGAGTTAAACTTCTGAGAACTCTTAAATAAAAACAAAAAAAAACTTAACTGGGCATGACAGCTCATACCTGTAGTCCTAGCTACCTGCGAGGTTGAGGCAGGAGGATTGCTTGAGCCCAAAAGTTCAAGGTTACAGTGAGCTATGATTGCAATGCTGCTCTGCAGCCTGGACAATGAAGTAAAACCCTGTCTTTAAAATAATAATAATAATGATAATAATTTAAAAAAAAAAAAAAAAACAAGAAAAACTTGGAAGCAATGTGAGAAAAATGATACCTTACCAAGCCAAGGATACCAAAAGGAAGTGGCACAACTTTTTTCAAGGGCTTAAAGAAAATAGCTTTCACCTGGGTGTGGTGGCTCACACCTGTAATCTCAGCACTTCAGGAGGCCAAGGTGGGCAGATCACCTGAGGTCAGAAGTTCAAGACCAGCCTGCCCAACATGGCGAAACCCTGTCTCTACTAAAAATACAAAAATTAGCCATGCGTAATGGCATGCATGCACCTTGCATGATGGCATCCCAGCTACTTGGAAGGCTGAGGCAGGATAATTGCTTGAACCCAGGAGGCGAAGGTTGCAGTGAACAGAGATTGCCCCACTGCACTACAGCCTGGGCCACACAGCGAGAGACTGTCTCAAAAAAAAAAAAAAAAAAAAAAAACTTCACTCAGAATCTTACATCCTGTGAAAGCGTCCCTCCAAAATGACATTCCATGGCCACATAGGTTTGAAAACCATTTTCTAGATTAACTGATTCATTTTCTAGATAGCACAACTGAGATTCTTCAAAAAACATATGGGATTTTTGCAAGAGCACATCACAGTCCCTCGAACACTGTTGGAAATCTCTGAAATTTGCAAAGCTGAGAAAAAAAATAAAAGAAAAGTTTCCTCAGCGTTGCTGGAATAATCTCCAACCTGTAAATGTAGAAGCAAATCTTGAGAACCTGAGTCCCAGAAAGAGAGAACACAAGGTGCAAGTGTATGTCCCAGCAACAGCCCTGTTACATGAGTGGCATTTGTACCTCCTGGTTTATAAGAGAAGGAGACACAGAGACACGAGTAACCAACAAGGTCACACAGAAACACAAAGAGCTAACATTCAAACCTAGGTTTGCTAGACACCAAAGCTCAGGCTCTGGGCCTCATTGTTACATACCTCATGGCCACATTCTCAGCCCTTCTGTGCGCCTCTATACATTGCTCCAGCACATGAACTACAAGGACCCAGAGGATGCAAACAATGGGCTCCTAAGTCAATGCCTGGGCTGACCCGTACAGGCCATTTGTAAAGAAAATGTGAATGGTGTTGCCATGTTTTCATGGTAACAAGCATTAAGAATTTGGGTTTGTTCTAACATCCACTGTTCTATATCTGAAATCTGATGTAAAATGCCTTGGGAAAGTTAGAAAGATGAAGAAGGCAGAAATGGTTAGAGGAGGGAAAGGATAGAGGAAATAGAATACAATGTATGGACATATTCGTCTTAGCACCTCATACTTAAACTCACATCCCCCAAGAACTACACAGAACTTTCTGCTATGGAAGCCACTCACTGATCATGACTCTCATCACAGCCCACCTTTAATTAAAAGTGAAGTTGCATGAGTCAGCCAACAGAGGGCAAAATGAGGAATCAAGGAACATGTGACTAAGGTCAAACATTATCTAGTGTCATTTCATAAATGAAGTGGGCCTCTTTCCTAAAGCTTTCTCCAAGTATCATTTGCAAATGTTCCAGTTGGGTGCTGCAACATGCTGAGGCCACCCTATCTCATCGTCTTGTCTTCATCATCCACCCTCCTCTTTCAAAGGCAGTATGATCAGACACAGTGGATGGGGGGCCTACCCTACCAAATCCCACCTGGCGTGGATGCTGCAGCTTAGGGCATCCAAGCACCCGCCAGGGCAAGCCCGCACTGTACCTTCTTTCTCTGGGTTGTGAGTGGCAGGCCACTCTGCTCAGGCCTGCCAAGTGAGGGTGGTACATTGGGCAAATCAACTTTCTGGTAGAAGCACAGGAACATCTGGCCCCAACACCCTTTTCTCCCTCTGCCCACCCCACAGTAATCCTCAGAACCTAGAGACTTAATGACATCTCTCCAAACTTCATTCTAAAGTCAGGAACAAGAATAGGAAACCTCATCACAAGTCAGAAGATTGAGACACACTTAAGGTTACTACCCATGTGTTCAGATTAGCAAGGACAGGAGCACACTGTAGGTACCAATGGCTTATCCATGGAAGGCTGCTCCTGAGCTGCACTGGGCTGCATATTTGTGTGACCGTTGTCTACAAACACTCCTATCCCATCAGAAGTACACAAAGGTTTGTCAGATGACTTACTGGCCACATGAGTGAATCAGTGAATTCTCCTCAGGAAGAGAACCAGTTTGCCTTTTAAAAATGCTGACAGTGAAACCCAAGTGAGGACACTCACCTGCTGCACCCAGCGTGCAACCCATACTCCTTCAGTGGGCCTTTAGGAGTTGGACCCAATCTAGTTTCCCAGCCTCTTCTCCCATGACTTCACTCTACGAATGGGTCTGCTCCAGCCACCAACCTTCTCTGGGCTCCTTGAAGGTACCTAACCCCTTCAGGCTGTCCTTCCCCCATTTCCCACCTAACAAAACCCTTTCGACCTTCAAGACCCAGCTCAAACACCCACTCCTCTACGAAGCCTCCCCCAGCCCCTTGCCCAGAGTGAGCAGTTCCTTCCTCTTCACATTCACCTAACTCCTCTTCCCTGTAAGATGCCCCCTTACAAGTAACAAAGACATGAGTGTGCACCTACCTTCAAGGAGCCTCTTCCAGGAGGGGGCCTGGCTTCGATCTGCTTTTTGACATGATACTTTGCACTGAGATCTGCCCTCTCCTGCCAGGCTGTGCTCACACCAATACCAAGAGATCACGAGACACCCTGCCAGCAAATGCCCTGGAAGCACATCCCCTTCATGCCCCTGGCAGTTGTCTAATGCACACACAAGATGAAAGCAGCTCTCGGGTGGCCTGTTGCAGGGCACAGGACAGTTCTGCCTATGCCAAGGCAGATGCTGGGCCCTTCTCTATTGTGCTCAGCACATACCCGTTCTCCAGGGCACCTTTCCTGGGCATTAATTCATCCAGGCAGTTAATATGGATTGCACAGCCTGCTGTGTGCCAGGTACCATGTGGACCCCACCACCCATGCCCAATGCAGGCCCCTCTAGTGGGCAACCCTTGCTCCACACCTCCCTGCTAGGCTGCTCAAGACTGTCAGGTCGGGCTCAACCTGCTCTCCAGCCCTGCTTCCTTCCTGTCCCTTTCCTGAGGGTTAGTTAGCCCCAGTAAACCTTTGGTCCTGCCAACTCCCTCTCACAGTCTGCTTCCTGGAGGACCCAATCTGAGACAGTGGGTTCCAGAGTGGTCCGAGAAAACAGGTGGTAAGATGGGGTCTTGGTACAGGATTGCCCTGCATCTCCCCAACTGGCAACGAGGTTCCCATCTTCGGGGGTAGGTGGCACGCAGGTGGCTCTAGGCACAAGATGGCAGGCTAGTTGCTAGACCTTCGATGTTAGAACTTTTGCTGGGATGGCCGGCTTGTGAAGAGGAAGCTCCTGGAAGGCGAGGAGATCCAGGCAGGGCAGATGCCTGGAAATGAAAACTCAGGGAACGGTATGTTTCCTGAAGGACCCACCGGGATTAATGAGAGGCCAAGGGCAATTAACAAACATCTAAAAATTAAGCAGAAACACTGGAGTCTTCCTGGTGGTTTACAAAGTAGCCCCCAATCCAAGCAATGGGCAAGCAGCAAAGTCTGAAGAACAAACCCAGGACTTGCTAAGGTGGCTGAACTCCAAAGACAGTTGAACGCTCAGCCAAGGCAGGTCTGGCATGCCAATGACACGAGTCCTGCTGGGAAAACCTGCATCCCTGATACATGGAACACGCACATCTAGGAGAAGGTCTCTGAATATCTGGTCTCCCTAGATGCCCTTGAAACTTCTGAGCTTGCAGCATCAGCCCACCCCCTCCCATGAAGCACTGCAGGCACCCTATCCCGAAGGAGAAATAAATAACACAAGAATTTTCCCCACAGGTGTCCTCCCTCCCAGGAGTGGCCCTCACCTTATCACTGGCTGCCGGGTAGGGTGATCAACAGTCCCAGTTTGCTGAGGGACTTGCGGTGCTAAAAGCCAGCGAGTCCCAGGGAAGCAGGAGGAATTGGTGAGCTGACTGCCACACCCGTGACTAGAGTGAAGGTGCAGCACAGAGCTGCGCAGGCAGGGTGTGCTGGGTCTGGGAAGGGGGAAAGCGATGACACCCCTGAGGAGCTGCAGGATCAGCATGCACCTGCAGCGGCCGGGGGGTCCCTGTGGGATGGGACCCGGATGCAGCTCAACCAGTGGGGGCCAGAAACGAAAACTACACAAGGGACTTGGAGACACTCTGCTGCTCAACACAACTGAATGCTCTGGTAGGGAGCCGAAGGGATGGGGCAAACCTGTGGATGGCACGGGATGGGCATCAGTGATGGTCCAGGCCTGAGTGACGGTGAAAGGCCCGAATTGTCATGGCAGATGGTGAAGGAAGGGATTCAAAGGCTAAGCAAAGTGAGTTTGCTGGAACTGGACAGAAGAGGTGAGGCCAGAAGACACCCCGGAGGATCATGTTTCAGGAGAGGGCCCAGAGGACACATGTGTCAGCAAGGGCATCAGGAATGTGCTGGAGAGAGGGCGCCAGCATCCCTCAGAGATCCAGCGCGGGAATCCTCTGCAGGCCAGGGTTGACCACAGCGGAGTGTCTTACAGAACGGGGCACACCGAGAACTGGAGCCTGATAAGGGCGCTGCAGCCTCCTCCTCCTCCTCATTTCCTTTCCCCCCCCCTCCTCCCCTCTTCCTCCCCTCCTAATACTCTCTTCCTCCTCTCCATCTCCTGTCCTTCTTTCTTCCTCATTTCCCCTTCTTACTCTCCTCCTCCTCCCCCTCCTGCTCTCCTTCTCCTCCCCTCCTCCTCATCCTCTCCTCTCTCCTCTTCTCTCTTCTTCCTCCTACTTTTCTCCTTCTCATTTCCTTCTCTCTTCCTCTCCTCCTTCTCCTCTTCTCTTCCACCTCCTCCAACTCTGTTCCTCCTCCTCTCCTCTCCACTCCTCCCCCACCTCCTCCTCCTTTTCCTCTGCTCCTCTTATTCTATTCCTCCTCTTCGTCCTTTCCTCCTCCTCCTCTCCTCCTGGTCCTCCTTTCTTCTGCCTCCTCCTCTCTGCTTTCTCCTCTTCTCCGCCTCCTCCTTTCTTCCTCCATCTCTCCTCTTCCTCCAAATCTCCTCCTCTTCCTCTCCTCCTCCTCCTCTGCTCCTCCTCTCCTCTTCCTCCTACACCTCTCCTCCTTTCCTCCCTCCTCCTATTTCTCTCCTTCTCCCTTCCTCTCCGTCCTCCCCCATCCTCCTCTCCTTCTCCTCTTTTCTCACTCCTCCTCTTCTCCTCCTCCTTTTCTCCTTTTCCTGTTCTTCTTCCTCCTCCTCCCCACTCATCCCTCTCCTCTCCTTTTTCCCTCCTCTTTCTCATCTCCTCCTCTCCTCCGCCTCCTCTCCTCCACATCTGCCTATCCTTTTCCTTTTCCTTCGGTCCTTCTCTCTTCCTACTCCTCCTACTCCCCCCTCCTCCTCCTTACTTGCTCTTCTTGTCCTCTTCCTCTTCTTCCTCCTTTGCTGCTCCTCCTCCTGTCTCCTCCTCTCCTTTTTCTTCTCTTTTCTGTGTCCTCCTCTCCTCCTTCACCTCCTCCCCTTCTCCTCCTTCCACCCACTCCCTCTCTTTCCCCTCCCCCTCCTCTTTTCTTCCCTTCTGCTCCCCTCCAGCTCCTAGTCCTCCACTTTACCTGTCTCCTCCTGCTACACCACACGTTCACGCGACCCTGTGTGAGTCCAGGGCAGAAAAGGAAAGCTAAAAGGCGGACAAATGAGTGCAAGAGAGCAAAGAAGGGAGCCCTCTCTAATCTACTGGGCAGGGCACTGGACGCATGCAAGCACCTCCTCTTTGGGGGAGGTGCCACAGCCTCCAGAAGGAGGGGCAGTGGGACACTCCATGACCTCTGGGGTTACTTACAGTTTGGAGTGCTTAGGTGAATACTGAGTCCAAAACAGCCCTGCAAACAGACGGAAGAGTAAACCCCTGAGCAGATGTGGTCTCTGAAATACAAAAAACCAACATGGGGTTTGAGGCAGAATTCAGAAAGAGCTCCTACAACTCCATACCAACAAGGCAAGTGACTCAATAGAAAAATGAGCAAAATCCATTTCCTAGACGAGGAAGGCAGGCCAAACAAGAAGCATCTGAAGGGAAATCATGAATTAGGGTCAAAGCGGTCCCAGAACACTAGGCTGGATCAAACGTGAACCCTCTCCAGAGGAGGGCAACTTCCTCCTGGGCCTCAGAGTCAAAGAAGCACAGCGAGGGGAGGTGGCTGCACTCTGGAAAGTGTCAGTGGGGAGCCAAGGGAAGAGGAAGGGGGTGACAGGCTCAGAAAACAGGAGGAGTCGCACAGAAATCACGCTGAGCAAAAAGAATGCTTCCCTAGGGGAGCATGTGGGCGGAAGAGAGGGGCTCTTCTCCTCCCTCTCGTCCTCGTTCTTCTTCCTCCTAATTCACCAGGGATGCTCAGCACCGAGAGGGAAAGTGATCGGCAAATCCCAGGGGAACCGCTCTAGCCAGGAAGGCTAGCCTGCCATGGCGGCGAGAGGTGAGCGAGAGGCGAGTGGGAGTAAGGGGAGGGAGGAGGGAACAGAGGGAGGAATGGGAGGGTATGAGGGAGGAGGGAGGGGAGGGGGAAGGGAAGGGAAGGGAGGGGAGGCAAGGCTCAGAAGGCCACTGGGATGGACAGGGAGCTCTGCAGGGGGCTCCCCAGGGATTAGGATGGAAGGAAGACCTGAGTGGGGCTGTGGTTTCAGGAAGGAGGCAGTATCCTGGCGGAGACGGGCAGCGGGTACAGTCAGCTGCAAAGCAGGATCTTTGGAAAAGACAAGGACTTCCTAAAAGAGACACAACGTGTAACACAATGGGCATGCAAGCAAGGCCTGAAGAAGAAAGCAGACTTTGAGGAGACACACCCCCAGCCCCAGGAGTTGGGGTCAGTTGAGTGTGTGCTAGTGGGGTGCAGCCAAGCAGAGCGCTTTCATGGGAGCACAGCAAAGAACCCGAGAAGGCCCCGCATGCACGCTCACAGTTGGCTATTGCCTGGGGCTCCAGAGCATCCACGGAGGGCCCCACAGGGGAAGGCAGGAGCAGGACGGGCCTGGGGAGGTGAAGGCCGACCTGATCTGCTAAGAGACAAGCAGAGAGGGAGGGGAAAGTCTTGTTCCTGCCAGGACATTGTTAATGGGAGGAATGAGGAGGCAGCAGGTGAAGAGAGTATGGCGTGGAGGGCAGAAATCAGAGCGTTTTCGGGTCTGGTGCTGACCCGCTATTGGGAATCAAAATGAAGACTCAGGTGCATTCTGGTCCCTTTCTCAGGGATAGCTGAACACCACCCGCATCCCTACCTGGCCTGGTGATGCCATTCTTCCTAGGCCCACTCACCGCTGCAGCTGCTTTACTTGGACTTCCTCTCCTCATCCGACCACAGATGAGACCTCTGTGGGAGGTCTCAGGGAGAGTGTGCACCCACATGCGCATTGCACCCCACTGCCCAGCACACCCAGGAGTGAGAGTGAGGGGCAGCTGGGAGAGTTGGAAAAGGGAGCCCTTATGTGGCCACCATGGGCTTCCCCGCTAGCAGCCACACGGTGACTATCCAGCTCATTATGCAAGTTCTAGTTCTTCATACAAGACGCTACAGGCGGAGCAACAGCAACCCACCATCCCGGGGATCCTCACTCATGATTTGAAACCACTCCCAGCAGGTTCTGGGGTGTTGGCAGAAGCTGGCAACCATTCTTGGGGGGAAGGAACCCAGGAGGGGATGCTAGCATGCATAGGAATTGTAACTGGTGATCTGAAGGTCCCCTGCAGCCCTACGGCCTACATCCCATAAAGAGGGACCCTCTCCTCCTCACCTCATCTTCAGTATTCCTGCTTCCTCGAGCTTCTCCAGGGAGAAGTAGGTGCATCTCACTAGAAAAAACAAGAAGGCAGCCCTTTGCTGATTAAACACTTACTAAGCAGATACTGTGCCCTGGGCACCCAGTTTCAGAAATGAGTAAAACACCAGCGGTTCCTTCAAGGAACTCAAGAGACCCTGCGGCAGCCAGACTCTTACAGAGCAATTACCACCTGGAGTTGCAAGAGCCTAATGTGGGGTGGGAATGGGGGATGTACAAAATGCTATCAGAGCTGGAGACAAAAGTCCGTAATACTTGGGGTGGGGCTGTGAAGGTGACATTAAAGTTGTGCCTTGAAGGAGGCCAGGAGTGCACCAGGACAAGGCCATGGGAATTAACGGTGCAAAGCAAGGAGACCTGGAACAGCAGGCTGGTGGGGACCAGTGACTAAACAGCACAGCGTGAACCCAAAGAGTGTTCGGCTTAAGGGTGGGGAGAGCTGAGCTGACTCCTTGAACTGTTAGGACTTAAACCTGAGAAGGCCCGGCCGCGTTTTCACTAGAGGATTGTTGGGGACAGATCTGTGACTTAGAAACTGAGCCAATGGAATGTGGAGGACAGACCTGAGGGAGGAAAGACAGAGGCTTCCAGGTTAGGCAGGAGGCTCATGGAACAGTGCAGGCTCCAGACCACGAGCCCTGAGTTCTGGAAGTAGCAGCGGGGATGCAGGACGAGGAGCAGTTTTGTCTCATCAGGCACTCCAGAGGCAGGGACTCAAAACTTGCTTATAAAGTCAATGCGGGAGACTAGATAAGGGGAGGGACAGAGGAGTAAAGCATGGCAGCACTACAGAACCTGAGCCCCTCACTGAGATGGAGAAGAGAGTTTGAAAAGCAAGTTTGCCAGGGAAGTTGGGCTGTGTGTCCGGCGACTTAGAGGAGGCAAGACATTAGGACTGTGGACGTTTCTCATCACCTGCAAAAGAGGCGTTAAAAAGACAGTCCCTCTGGACCCCAGCCCCGCCCTGCTTCTCCCAGCCCCGCCCTGCTTCTCGCGCAGCTGCTTTCAAAGCCCCGCCTCCAGTCCCTCCCAGCGGTTTCTTTCTCCCCCGCCCTCCTACTCTCAGCGGACTCCTGCCTCCCCCTGCTGGTTCTCGGGAGTCCGCGAGCTCCTTCTGCAGCCTCTCCTTGCTCAGCTCTCCCACGGCCCTGCCCGCAGTGGTTTCTCTCAGCTCCGCCCGGCCCTGTCCCAACCCCCACCCCTTATCCTAGCACCGCCCTCAACACCGCCCCCAATCGTTTCTCTCAGTCCCGCCCTGCCCCATCCCCAGCTCCACCCTCCTCCTCTCAACCCCGCCTCCACCCACTCCCCAGCGGTTTCTCCCAGCTCCTCCCTGCTGGTATAGCAGCTCTGGACCCAAAACTCCTGCCTGGTGGCCTCGTCCCGCGCTTCCCCTTACTCTTTCTCCCTCCGTTTCCTTTTCCTCCTTCCGGTTCTTCGCCCAGGTTGCCAGTCTCGAGCTCCCCTGGCCTTGGCCTGGCTGGCTGGCGCGCATGAGGGCCTGGTAAAGGGAATAGCGTCTCCTAGCAGCCAGGGCGTGCGTACGTGCGTGATGTCGTCAGTGCGTGTCTTCGAGAATGCGAGATTCATAATGACTTGGCTGTCTATATGCATGGCTGAGTACGTGCCTCCTGCGTGGTGTGCGTACATGCGTGATTACGTGCCCACGTGCGTTCTTCATGAAAGGGATGACGGGAGCTGCATTAAAGCGGTAGAGTTCTGGACCGCTAGCGCTTGTTACTGGCCACCGGTTTCCCGGAGTTAGCGGCAGCGACCTTGCAGCCTCGACACTAGCCAGGCGCTCCCTCTTCTCACCGCGGCCCACGTCTCCTCGTTTGGGAGCCCATTGTCCTGGCTCCGGTGGCCTCGCTGGGTCTCGGGGAGGCGGAGTACTGTTCTTCCCTGTGGCGAAAAGCCGGAGTCGGCCCTGGGCACCCACGACTCGCAGGGTCCGTGGTTCCGGAGGCCGTGAGACCTGCCGGGGCTGACAGGTGCCAGGGCCCATGATGCAGGAGCCTATGTGCGCAGCCTTCTTGCGGACGGTACCTGAGGGCTGGGGCTTCCCTGGATGTGGGGCTGGGAACCCGCGCGGGGCACGACCAAGGCTCCTTTTCCTGCCCCCTGCTCTTGCCAGGGTCTTGGCTCCGCTCCTTCTAAGCGCGTGTACCCGCGACGTGCGTCTGCGAGTAGAAAGCCGGTGTGGTGCTCCACACACAGCGGCCCCACCTCAGCCTGGTCTTCCCTGCCTCCCATTGGCCCCTCTGCTGTGAGCTCGCCTGGACCCGAGGCCCGGCGGTGCACAGCTCTGTGGCCTGTGGCGCCGTGCTCAGCGTGACTTACCCAGAATTAAGCTGAGGACAATGGGATTTAGAGCCCCAAACCCTCGCCCCTCGACAATGGGAGGGGAAGTGTCATTTTTCTCCCTTCGAATGGAGCGTGCTCAGCTGCAGGAATGCTGTTCAACGTGGTGAAATGATTTTCTGTCCTGCGGGCTGGTGCACCCTGTGTCCTTGACCCAGACAGGTGCTGAGGATCCCACTGCTGTGATTAGCCGAACCAAACTGTGAGGTGCACATGTGTGTTACTGATAAGACCGGCCCTCCCAGCTCTTCTTGGTTTCCAATGCCTGCTAAGTAGATGACCTTCTTCGGGCCATGAACCAGCTTTGCTGTCTTGCACGTAATGACCTTTCCTCTTTATCTTCCTTGTTGTGCAGGTAGGGCGCAAAGCAGGTACTCTCTGCAGCACCGGGTAGGAGGGGAGTCAATCCCCTTCTTGCCTTTTCAGTTACATCAGTTCCTACTAGGGATTCCACACACACACAGTTCGCGTTTGTTGTGATTTTATGGTGATGATGAGAAAAGGGTTGGCTAAAAAACTGAGCGACGGAAAAGAGGCAAACATTCACTGTAGCTATGTATCCTGATGGAAGTGGCCTGGCCCTGTGGGAGACATTCAGTCTCCGTCAGAAGTAATCCAGAACCAAGGAACCTGGTGATGTTTGGTCACCCATCAGGAGAATAATGAGGCTCAGGGGCCGCAAGTGTGTGAGGAAATGGCACCATGGATGGGTTGGTGGAGGGTACACAGGTGAGTCTTTGTGGAAAGTCATTTGCTGGCAGATATCAGCATCTTAGATGGGCATGCCAGGCGGCCGAGGCATTCCCTTCAGCATGTCTTCACACAGCAAGTGTTAGAGGTAATGTCATTTCTAGTGGCAAAAGTGGGGAGCAGCTTGTAACTCTCCGTCAGTGGAGGAGTGGTCAGGCAAATTATGAGACAGCCAACAATGGGATATCACACAGGCAGTGAAAAACAAGGTAGATGAAGATTGTCAGGTGGAAAGAATGGACTTGATGTGCTGTCAAATGGAAAACTCATGCCCTATCCTGTGGAGATGTGTTGGGAACAGCAGTTTGCCAAGATGGTTGAAGCAAAGGACCATAAAGGGGCTGGCTTAAACAACAGACAATCATTGTTCTAGAGGATGGAAGTCTGAAATCAAAGTGTTGACCAGATTTGTTTGTTCTGTGGGCTGTGAAAGACAATCTGGTCTGTCCCTATTTCTTAGCTGCAGGCGGCTAGCCGGCAATCTTTGGCACTCATTGGCTTGTAGAAGCATCTCCCTTATCTCTGCCTTCATCTTCTCATGGTGTTCTCCCTGTGTGCATGACTGTCTCTGAAATCCCCTTTTTCATAAGGACGCCAACCACATTGGATATGGGTCCACCCTAATGGCTTCAGTCTCACTTGATTGCCTCTGTAATGACTGTCTTTATATGTAAGGCCACATTTTGAGGTGCTGGGGTTTAGGACTTCAACATATGCGTTTTAAGAGGACACAATGCAACCCATCAGAACTGACAAAGGACCTGAGGTAGAAACAAACTTGGCATGTTCCCTCAGGGGATGGAAGGCCCCTGTGGCTGCAGGGTGGTGAATAAAGGGGAGAGGAGAGGACATGGCTGGGGTGGGAAGACAGATCAGGAGGGACCTTGAGTGCCCTGAGAGGAAGTGTGGATTCTGTTCTAGTTGGAGCAGGGAGCCCTTGAAAGCTTTCAGTAGAGGAGTGACATAATCTCATTGTCCCTGTACCAAGATCATTCTGATGGCAGTGTGGTCACAAGAGTGCAGAAGACAAGGGCTGAGACAGGAGTGGGGGTGCTATCAGGAGACTTCTTCAGAAGGCAGGGGGTTTTAGGGAATTGGACTGGAATTGTGGCCATAGAGATTATGGAAAGAGATCAGATTCAGTGTCGGTTTTGGACACAGTGCCACGGGATGTGGGCCGCAGAGAGGGAGGGCAGAGAGCAGCTAGGTCTGGGGCAGGAACACTGCGTAGCTGGTGATGCCACTCACAGTGGAAGGGAGGTGGACTTGGTGGTGGTGGTTGGGGTCCTGAGTATGTACAGGCCTGTCCACCTAAGGCTGAGTCTGAAGGGGCGTGGCCCTGCACCACGGGATTCAGAGCAGGCTGGTGAGCAATGTGGGGGTCCCGGAAGGAGGGAAGGAGTGTGCTCAGCCCTGCTGGGGCTGCCAAGCATGGAATAAGATGAAGACAGGACTGGCATGAGGCCAGCCATGAGTGCTTGTGGGGATAGGTCAGTCAGTGGAGTGGATGGGGGGGTGGGGAATAAAGAGAGAAAGCTATCCTGCCTGTGCCTTTTTCTAGCTGTCTCCGCCCTACTCCAGACCGCCCCAAAGACTCTGTGGGATGAACCTGAGTCAGCCGAATCCCAGCCCCTTCCCTTGGGCCTGCCGTGGCGCGGGACCTCAGTGACAGACGGAAGCAGCGGACCATCAGGGTCAGTGGGATTTAGGCCACCTGAGAGAGACAGGGGTATGGTCAGGCCACTGCCCGTGAGCTTGGAGGGCTGGCATGTGACGCGCTTCTGTGCTTCTGCAGGCCACAGGAGGCCCGGGGCACTTGCGAAGATGGAGTCAAGACTGTGGAGACTCGTTGGCATCCCCTGCTGAGCAGCCAGCGGAACCGTACCATTGCCGTCCACATGGCTCACAGGGACTGGGATGACGATGCCTGGCAGGAGCTGCTGGTGGAGAGGCTGGGGATGACTCCTGCTGAGATTCAGGCTTTGCTCAGGAAAGGGGAGAAGTTTGGTCGAGGAGTGATAGCGGGTAAGTGACGATGTGCCAAATGTGCAGACAATGCCTAGAGTTGCCACCCAAGATCTTGCTTGGGAGTTTGGGGACTTTTGTTGTCGTCTGAACTGATTGGCATGTATACCACAGTTTCCTTTGGCAGCACACCTTCAAAGAGACGGCAAGGGCCCTGGGCTGGGGGTTGGCAGGCCTAGCTTCTGTGAGCTCTGGTAAATCATTTCTCCACTCTGAGCCTCAGTTCCTGTTTCTGATTTCAGTGAGAAACCAGATCAGGTCCATGTGCATGTGGTGCTTGTGGTGTTTGGCTGTGTCTGTATGTGTGTGTGTGCATACATGCGTGAGTGCACATGTGTGGCAGAGACCATGAAAAGCAGCCCAGCCCGCCGAATGGGTCAGGTGGCCTCTAGAGTTGGGCTACCTGCCTGACTTCACAAGCCTGCCCAAGCCCCACCACTCACGGCACCCTGGGCAAGTCCCCTAACCTCTAGGTGACTGAGGCCTGACAATAGCATCTGTCCCCTGGTGACCTGCTCAGGCATCACCTGTAGCTTCCCAGGCAGTGGCTGGTGCCCTTCCAATCTGCAACCGCTGCCCTCGGAAGTCTGGCTTGGACCTGCCACTTGTGTGGCTTCATGGAGGACAAGGCCCTCTCCTCTGCCTTTCTGGAGCCCTCCCCCGCCTCTCCCAGAGTTTGGCTCGTTATCAAAGCAGTGGAAGAAGGACTTGACTCCCTTCTTGTCATTTTGCTGATGCCACCTTACTCTCTGATTGTGACTTTGAGTAACCGTGTTGTCACATGGGCAGGCCTTGGGCTATGGAAGTGAAAGGCATTCATATGTATCTCTCTTTGTGTACAGGACTCATTGACATTGGGGAAACTTTGCAATGCCCCGAAGACTTAACTCCCGATGAGGTTGTGGAACTAGAGAATCAAGCTGTACTGACCAACCTGAAGCAGAAGTACCTGACTGTGATTTCAAACCCCAGGTGGTTACTGGAGCCCATACCTAGGAAAGGAGGCAAAGATGTATTCCAGGTAGACATCCCAGAGCACCTGATCCCTTCGGGGCATGAAGTGTGACAAGTGTGGGCTTCTGAGAGGAATGTTCCAGAGAAACCAGCTAAATCGTGACACCTTCAATTCACCATCATGACGCAGACCTATATACATTAGGTTAAATCTGAATTTCCACTGCTTTGGAGAGTCCCACCCACTAAGCACTGTGCATGTAAACAGGTTTCTTTTCTCAGATGAAGGAAGTAGGGGGAGGGGCTTTCCTTGTGTGATGCCTCCTTAGACACACAGGCAATGTCTCAAGTACTTTGACCTTTGGGTAGAAGGAAAAGCTGCCAGTAAATGTCTCGGCACTGTTGCTAATTTTGGTCCTGCTAGTTTCTGGATTGTGTAAATAAATGTGTTGTAGATGACTGGTTAGTGTTTGAGACTTCGTTCTATGTTTTCCCCTGATTTGTTCTGGTCAAAACTCATCAAATGTATAACTAGCATCCAGGAGACATTGCAGAAAGTCTGAGACCTGGCACTGAATGTTTGCCTGGTAGTGACTAGCCATTAATCAACCGACTTATCCAGGATGAAGAGGACATCAGGCTTAGGGCAGCTGTCTGTCTTTTCAGGTTACTCTCACTCTGTTGCGAAAGTGTCTGTCGGTTTCTGAAGCATGTGTGTCACCTGCATCACATAGCTACTTCCTATCCTAGCAATACATCCAAAATACAGCTCTGGTAGAGTGAGGTTAACTTGGAAATGTGATAAGTAGCTTTGATTAATTTTTTTTTTTTTTTTTTTTTTTTTTTTTTTTTTTTTTTTTTGGTGATTTAGCAAAGTTTCTAGTTGTTATCTTTGAGGATGATGGGCATTTCCCCCCAGGTATTGACTGCAGTGGCCCTTCTCTTCTGAGCCAGGATGTCATGGTGGTCGTACATCCCATGGCAGATGGGGTGGCCTGACTTTCAAGTGGACCTCTTTGGAGGACCCTGGATGCTAGGCTAGGGGTGCTGAGCTGCTGATCAGACACTTCCTGGCAGCATTGGGAGGGACCCATGAGGAAACAATCTCCTGTTTGAAGATACAGGAAGATACTGCCAGAATCAGGCGTGAGTCTATTCTTTCTCCTGACTAGCAGGCCAATCTCAGGGGACCAGGTCTTCCTGGGCTTGGTCTCGACACTTCTAGCAGTATCCTTTGCTGAGTGTGCAAAAATGCTGCTTCTCCAAATAAACGAGGACAATGGGGACCAAAGCCTGTCTTGGACAGGATTTCCAGCCTCCCCTGGCTTGTGCCAATGAGATGTGTATAATATAGAATGTTAAAAAGAACACAGACAACAGGTCTCATTTAAATTGTTTATTATTTATTTCCATGGAATTTTGTTTTTCTTTATTAAGACCAAAAATGTGTTTCTCATTTGCAAATGGCAACTTTTATTGGTCATTAGTGGCCTGTGAGTTCACGGACTTGCATTGTTTCTGAACTGTTCACAGAGTTTACACTTGTAATCTGAGGAGCCTTCCTGCTCCTCGTCATTGTCAGAGGGCTCATTTGGAGACATGACTGAGAGGGTGGCCAACAGAATGGAGTAACAGATATTGCACAAAGACAATACACTACCATTATCTGAGTAAACTGGGCTACTAGGCACTTGCCCTATGCCTTCCATCCAGGCAGTAGCCGAAGATGCAAATGTGACATTCCCAGAGGTGCCCTCCCAACTTGGGCCATTTGGTTCCTGAGGGGGCCTATTTCCCAGGGGATGCCCAGTGATACTGTTCTTGGACCACATGCCAGAGAACATGAAGGACTGAGTGCCACTGGGTCCCTGAACATTGGGGGCTCCCCGCTGACACATTTTGATGGCTTCTTTCTTGGCATTGATGTGATAGATACGTAGGGAGCGTCTTGTAGCTACCAGCTTCTTTCTCTTTGGAGGTGGGACACAGGTTGCTTGCTGAGCCGTGTTTCTGAGGTCATCTTTTCTCTGGATATTCTCCAGGAGCCTGGGCTTGTCTCTCTGAAAATTGGAGTTGTGGTAGATCTGAAACAAAATGAAACATGTTAGTTGTTCCGGAATAAATTATTCCTTTCCCACCTCTCAAAATTACGATTTTGTTCTGCAATGGAGAAAAGAATGCTTTAAGTGGCAGCAAGTGTGGTTATGCCCTACCTCATGACCTGACTGGAGATAAACAATTCATAGGTCAAGGCAGTAATATATAAATAGCATGGATTTTGACATTAAACTGCAACCCCCTTAGAGGTAATATGTAGGTCCGCATAATATGATGCTTATATTATCTCTAAGGGGATTGTAGTTTAATATCAAAATCCATACTTTTTAAGTTCTATACTTTTCATCTTTCAATAAACAATATTTTACATTTTAAAATGCTATCTTTGACATTTAAGCTCTTACAGTGTATTATTTATATTGGTGTCCTATGAAGATATGTTTGAGAAGGAGAGAAAAGGGATCACAGAAATTACAGAAATGCTTTCTACTTTACCATCATTTTCTTGTTTCCTGGAGAGTTGCTTGGGCGTGTTTTGCAGAATCCATAGAGGTTCAGTTGGCGAATGAAACTCTTCAAGCTGTCTGTTTCGAAGATCCTCTCTGCACCTCTCCGTTGAAGAACTTCCCTCTGGAAGAGATCCTTCTCGATGATCACGGCGTCTCCATCATCGTTCCAGCTCACAGACTTGAATGTGTCTTCCTCCACGATCATCCAAAGCTTTCTTGGGAAGGAGAGCCTAAAAAGGTTCTGGTTGTCTTCCGTGTTGACCACGCATTGGTTTCGGTCTTCTGGTGGTGAGTTATCTTGGGAGCCTGGATCTTGGCTCACGGCGTGGTCCTCGTGTCTGTCCAAAACCTCGCTGGAATCTGGATTTGGATCAGGTGAAGAACTAAAGGGGTCCCCGCTTGTTGGCTCTCCACCAACAGACGGGGCCAGCTTGTCTTCATATTCCTGTTCGGTGTTCTGACTCGCCATGGAGCTACACCAGAATCAGGAGCATTTTGTACCCAAGACCCTTATCACTGTCCTAGCAAGTCCAAAATGCCTTCAGTCAGAGTAGGCGTGCCCAGTAAATACCGTCCACAAAATTCTAGAGTCTCGGTATCAGGGCAACCAGTGACTTAACTCACCATCTGCTGTATTTGTCACACGATGTCACAAAGGTGGCTCTCAGCCAATCTGGAGAGGGGACGCTGGCCAGGTGTTGGGGGAGTAGACAGGTGGCATTGCCTTCAGCTTCTCCCTTTTCTAAAAGTATAAACAGGTGTGGTTCAAGTTCCCAGAAAAGTCTCCCATCTTCTGAAAGTCACATTGTGTCATAGGACCAGGCCCCAGATAAGCTGAGAAACCATGGCTCTGTGGCCACTCCCAACCCTGAAGACAGGGGAGGCCATTTGCTGGCCTCTGGTTTGCTCAAGAGCCAGCCCCTAGTTAGCCCTAGCTTGGGTTTCACCAAGACTGCCTGAGTCAGATGGACTCCTCACAGGTGACTTCCTTCTAGGAGATGGTGGTCCCTAGTAGGCTGTTTGACCTGATCTGTGTGGTAGCACCCCTCTTTTCCAGTCCTCCCCATCTCCTTCCTGCTTTGGTCTCTTCCAAGTACTCCTAATGATTGGTTGGATCTGCTCTAGTGGGCCCAGATAAAGTGTTCCTTATTCCATTTGGTCGAGTTGTCCCCAGAGGTGCTGTGCCTGAGCGTGGTGGGAGCACTCCCCTCACTCCTCTACCACTGTGTTACCCAGAGCACCATTTGTGGTTGGATGGCCACATCCTCAGCTGTGCTTTGGAGTCCCCTGTGGAGCTCTGCTTGCCCTTGCATCTCACCCTCTTGCAGATCACAACAGGAGATTACCTTTAGTTTCTGTTTTTTCCCATAAATACTGTTTTCATTGCTCAAGACATGTTCATTTCTGAGGCCTGCTTTACACAAACTAGCCTAAGAAAAGTTCCTGCTTGTCTAGTTAGACCTGATTAAAGTAATCCAGCACAAAAGTGCCATCATTGTGTATTTGAAAACAGATGAGCGTATGAGTGTGTGTTGGGGTGGGCAGGAGGAGGGAGAAAACCCAAATGAAAGTCATCTTCAACCCCAGATGAGAGGATACAACAGTCTTTCTGGTAATACATTTTCTCTAGCCATTAAAGACAACTTTGTTCTTAATATTCACTCTGTATAGGGAGACAGAGTGGTACAGTGGATAGGCCCCAGGCTGAAAGGACCCTGGGTCCTTGTCCCACTGAGTAGCACCCTTTGCCCACTCAGGATCGGCCCTGGGTGCGAAGAGGGTTGGAAGAGGCTCTTCCAAGGTGCTTTTCAATGTCAGGGCTCTCTAATCCTTCATGGTGCCCCCCATGCCTGGATGCAGGCTTGGTTCATGGTCATCAAGCTTTTTAAACAGGTTTACAAAGGTTTTGTTCAAGGACTCAGTGTAACCTGTAGGCACATGCACTCTGAGGCTAAATATTAAAATAGAGGCCTTTGGTGACATCACTGAATGAGGATCCTTGAGTATTCAGTTACACAGCTGGCATCTTTCACTTACATACCTAAGTGCTTTTTCATAGGGGAATTCTTAAGACTGAGAATGACATTGTGTTGTGGCTTTTGCGAACTTATGAACTCTGCTGATTACTTATATAAAGGCTTTTAGCCATTGGGTGGGAGGGGAACGATCATGAAGAAAATGGCTAGGGAAACTACACAGTGGCATTCAGCCAAGAGCTGGTATTGATTTGATTTAGTCACACTATGTCATGTGGCTTCTATAGGACCATTAGCTACCATTCTCCTTTGTTTTAAGTCACAGAATGTCCACTGGGATTACGAGTCTAAGACATCAAGCTCCTCTTGTCCCCTGGAGGGAATATTGAGGGCACTGACTTAAGTCTAGACAAGAAGAGGCATAGTGGGAAAACCAGCCTCCTCCAGCTAAGCCTGCTCAGTCCCCAAAGATCAGCTCTGCAACCTTCAGCAACCATTCGGACATTCTTTATGAGACACCTGCCACCTGCAAGCCCCTTTGAGGAAAATGGTTGGTCTTCTCTTCCATGCTCCAATGGACCCTCTGTGTTGCTGCTTTATGAATGAAAACATCATGGTCAGGCGACCCAAGCAGAGCACAACTGACTATGGTATGAAGACCAGTGGCCCTGTGGAAGGCGGTCTCAGTGCTGACTCACTGCAGCTTTGTAGCTGTGCAGCAATCAAGAACAGTGCTGAGCTCTTTTTTTTTGCTTTTTTTTTTTTTTTTTTTTAATTTATTTATATTATTATTTACTTTAAGTTGTAGGGTTCATGTGCATAACGTGCAGGTTTTGTTACATATGTGTATACTTGTGCCATGTTGCTGTGCTGCACCCATCAACTCGTCATTTACATCAGGTTATATAACTCCAATGCAATCTCCCCTCCCCCCCCCCCCCCCCCCCTCCCATGATAGGCCCGCCGGTGTGTGATGTTCCCTTCCTGAGTCCAAGTGATCTCATTGTTCAGTTCCCACTATGAGTGAGAACATGCGGTGTTTGGTTTCTGTTCTTGTGATAGTTTGCTAAGAATGATTGGTTTCCAGCTGCATCCATGTCCCTACAAAGGACACAAAACTCATCCTTTTTTATGGCTGCATAGTATTCCATGGTGTATATGTGCCACATTTTTCTTAATCCAGTCTGTCACTGATGGACATTTGGGTTGATTCCAAGTCTTTGCTATTGTGAAATAGCTGCTGCAATACATACCTGTGCATGTGTCTTTATAGCAGTATATTTATAATCCTTTGGTTATATACCCAGTAATGGGATGGCTGGTCATATGGTTACATCTAGTTCTAGATCCTTGAGGAATGCGCGGTACTGTTTTCCATAATGGCGTGATACTAGTTTACAATCCACCAACAGTGTAAAAGTGTTCCTATTTCTCCACATCTTCTCCAGCACTGTTGTTTCCTGACTTTTAATGATCGCCATTTCTAACTGGTGTGAGGATGGTATCTCATTGTGGTTTTGATTTGCATTTCTTCTGATGGCCAGTGAATGATGAGCATTTTTTCATATGTCTGTTGGCTGTATGAATGTCTTCTTTTGAGAAATGTCTGTTTCATATCCTTTGCCCACTTTTTGATGGTGTTTGTTTTTTTTGTAAATTTGTTGAGTCTTTTGTAGGTTCTGGATATTAAGCCCTTTGTCAGATGAGTAGATTTGCAAAAACTTTACTCCATTCTGTAGGTTGCCTGCACTCTGATGGTAGTTTCTTTTGCTGTGCAGAAGCTCTTTAGTTTAATGAGATCCATTTGTCAATTTTGGCTTTGCTGCCGTTGGTTTTGGTGTTTTAGACATGGAGTCTTTGCCCATGCCTATGTCCCTGAATGGTACTACCTAGGTTTTCCTCTAGGATTTTTATGGTATTAGGTCTAACATTTAAGTCTCTAATCCATCTTGAATTAATTTTCGTATAAAGAGTAAGGAAAGGATCCAGTTTCAGCTTTCTACTTATGGCTAGCCAATTTTCCCAGCACCATTTCCAAGGCATGAGGCCAGCCAAAGGCCAAGACTCGCTGTGTAGGCCTTGCCTGTCACATGATCCCCCAGGCTCTCCTCATCCTCCCCCTGGCCTCTCAGGATCTTCTTCCTTGCTGATCTCTCCCGGGCTGATCTGTCCCTGCAATTGGTTCATCCCACTCCAGAGGAGTCTTTCTAAACTGTGGCTCGGATCTTGTCAGTTGCTTAGGCACCACCTCCTCACACCTCCAAGGCCTTCCTTTCCCAGCCTCGTTAGCCACTGGGCTCCTCTTTCTTACACACTCAGGCATCCACCATGCTACCCACCCTTAACCCTCCTTCACTCAGCATTTGCTTGATGCTGGGTCCTGGGTAAGACAACTCTCAACCTCTGGTTCCGTCTGGTGCTGTTTTCTCAGCACACTGAACTTCCTTGCTGATGAGGGTGCTTGTGCTTCTTCCCCTATGGGAACGCCCTTTTCAACCCAGAAGTCACTCAGCTTGTCAGGGTCCAGGTCACTCCATGAGGTCAGCTGGCAAAGCTTATTCCCAGGGGCTGGCCCAGCACAGCTCTCCACCATTGGTTGGGTGGATCCTGAACTCCTGTGAGGTTGGGCATGTTGATGGGCTGTCTCCCCTCTGGACTAAGAGGCCCATGAGGATGGCCAAGACCGCAGTGCAAATGTAGCCCTCAATACAAGTTGGATGAAGAAAGTTCTATGTCACCAGCTCAGTGGAGTTTAGCATCCTTGGACATGGTTCTACATTAGAACAGTGATAACAGGGCAATTATTGTGAGCTCCTATTGAGACAGAAAAATAGGGTCTAGAAACAGGGAACTTAAGGCCAATCTGTGCTGACTTCCTAAAAGAGAAAACACTAGGGTCTGGGGGTAGGAAATCTAAGGCCAATTCACTCTGACTTCCCAAAGCTGGATCAAAAGGAAAATACCTGAGTCTGGGGGCAGGAAACCTAAGGCCAATTAACACAAACTTCCTAAAGCTAAACCAAAAGATAAAAACCATGCTGAGTAACAAAGGATCAGAGGCTACTCTCCCTACAACCATCCCTCTTCCACCACATCTCAGATGGAAAGGGAGGGTAGAGTGCCTTGTTGACCGTGGGCCAAGCAGGGACCATCCCTTCATCTGCATAGGGTGCCAGTTCACTTCAGCCTTTAATTAGCCACAGGCCAAATCCTTCAGATAAGGAATAGTCATTAAGAACCTCAAATGGGGTACTTAAAGCCCAGAAAACTTTGTAACTGGGCCCTTGAGCCACTTGCTCAAACCTACTCCCACCCTGCAGAGGGCTTTCTCACTTTAATGAATTCCTGCTTTCACTGCTTTGTTGCTCCATTTCATTCCTCTACTACTTTGTGCATTTTGTTCAATTCTTTGTTCAAAACGCCAGTGACCTGGACAACTCATAGTCAATGAGTTATGCTAAGTGCTCTGCTAATCTGTGTCATTTACTGTGCACACCCATCTGTTGAGTGGGTATTAGGAATGAGCACATTTCTCCAATGAGCCAAGCTAGGCCATAGAGGGGTTGAGCCATGGTGCAGGTTCCGCAGTGAGGAAGCAACAGGGCCAGAATAGGCCCACATGGTCAGACTGTCAGACTTACAACCTTACTCAAGTACAGTGAGTGTTCCAATGATCTGAGCAGAACTTGACTTTTTAAGCAGAAAATGGCTGAAGAAAGCAAAAACAGAAAACAAAGGACATATTAGTCATTGATATGGTTTGGCTGTTTTGTCCCTCCAAATCTCATGTTGAAATGTGACCTTCAGTGTTGGAGGTGGGTTTAGTGAGAGGGGTTTGGGTCATAGAGGTGAATCTCTCATAAATGGTTTGGTGCTGTCCTTGTGGTAATGAGTGAGTTCTTTGTTAGGTACAAACCACCGCAAAAAGCTTCTTGGTACTGCCAACACTCCCCCCAAACCTCTCTGTGCTGCCTACCCTTTCCCCAAACCTTTTTACATTTCTAAGTCCTTATCTAGGCACCGCAGTGAAGCCAGCCTGATAGACTACCTATCAGGCCTTGAGCGATAAAGCAAACCCCAATTACAAACCATCCAGACTGAACAGGGGGAGGTTGTGGGAAGCATAAACAAACTTTACCTGCACCCTCCAGTACCATAAACATCACAAGGTGATTATGTGGCAGAATTAACCAGCAAACAACCCCGGGATGCAGCCATACCAAAGGACTCCCTCAAACTCCCTGCCCCAATGTAACTCCCTCATTCTGTAAGCTTGGAGCTGCTTTCCTTGACTGTTATGGGGGCAGCTGGCAGGTTAATAAAGGCTTGCCTGAACTTGGGGCTCTCTGTCTCTCTTGTCCTTTCTCTTGGCTAACCTTACATTCTCACTCTCTTAAGTTCACATGAGATCTGGTTGCTTAAAAAAACCTGGCAGCTCCTTGTTCTCTCTCTTGCCATGTGATATGCTGATTACCCGTTTGCCTTCTGCCATGACTGGAAGCTTCCTAAACCCTTACCAGAAGCAGATACCGGTGCCATGCCTCCTGTACACCCTGAAGAACCATGACCCAAAATAAACGTTTTTCTTTATAAATTACCTAGCCTCGGGTATTCCTTTATAGCAATGCAAAACTGACTAACATATAAAATTGGTACAGGAGTTGGGTGATGCTATAAAGATATCTGAAGATGTGAAAGCAGCTTTGGAACTGGGTAATGGGCAGAGGTTGGAAGAGTTTGGAGATCTCAGAAAAAGGAAGATGCAGGAATGTTTCAAACTTATTGGAGACTTGTTAAGTGGTTTTGACCAAATTGCTGACAGAAATATGGACAATGAAGGCCAGGCTGATGAGGTCTCAGATGGAAATGAGGAATTTACTGGCAAGTCATCCTTGTTATATCTTAGCAAAGAACTTGGCTGCATTGGGTCCATGCTCTAGAGATCTGTGGAAGTTTGAACTTAAGGGTGATAAATTAGTGTATCTGGCCAAAGGGATATTTCTAAGCAGCGAAGTATACAAGATGTTGCATGCCTGCTTCTAACAACCTATCTCAGATGTAGGAGAAAAGGAAAGACTTAAAATTGGAATTTATAATTAAAAGAGAAGCAGAGCATAAGAGTTTGGAAAACTTGCAGCCTGACCATATTGTAGGAAAGGAAAGAGCATTTTCGGAGAAGAAATCAAGCAGTATGCTGAGGAACCTCTTGCTAGAGAGATTTGCATGACTAAAAGGGAGCTAAGTGCTCCTATCTAAGACAATGGGGAAAAGCCCTTGAAGGCATTTCAGAATCTAGGCCCCTCCCATCCCAGACCCAGAAGCCTAGTGGGTAAGAATGGTTTTGGGGTCCAAGCTGGGGGCCCTACTGCTCTTTGTAGCCTTTGGACGCTGCTCCCTGCACCTGGCTGGTCTAGCTCCACCCATGGCTAAAAGTGTCCCAGGTACAGTTCAGGCCACTGCCTTGGAGGACACAAGCTATAAGACTTGGTGGCTTCACTATGGTGTTATGTCTGCAGGAGAACAGAATGCAAGAGTGAAAGAGGCTTGACAGCTTCCACCTAGATTTCAGAGGATGTATGTATTGAAAAGCCTGGGTTGCCAGGGAAAAGCCTGCCACAAGGGTAGAGCTCCTACAGAGAGACTCTACTAGAACAGTGCTCATGGAAAATGTGGGGTTGGAGCCCCTGCACAGAGTCCTCATCAAGGTACTGCTGAGTGGGATTGTAGGAAGGCAGCTGAGAATGATAGAGCCACCAGCA